TAGTCTATAAGTCTAGTCTATAGTCTAGTCTATAGTCTAGTCTATAGTCTAGTCTATAGTCTAGTCTATAGTCTAGTCTATAGTCTAGTCTATAGTCTAGTCATAGTCTAGTCTATAGTCTAGTCTATAGTCTAGTCTATAGTCTAGTCTATAGTCTAGTCTATAGTCTAGTCTATAGTCTAGTCTATAGTCTAGTCTATAGTCTAGTCTATAGTCTAGTCTATAGTCTAGTCTATAGTCTAGTCTATAGTCTAGTCTATAGTCTAGTCTATAGTCTAGTCTATAGTCATAGTCTATAGTCTAGTCTATAGTCTAGTCTATAGTCTAGTCTATAGTCTAGTCTATAGTCTAGTCTATAGTCTAGTCTATAGTCTAGTCTATAGTCTAGTCTATAGTCTAGTCTATAGTCTAGTCTATAGTCTATTGCTAGCTATATCTAGTCTATAGTCTTAGTCTATAGTCTAGTCTAGAGTCTAGTCTATAGTCTAGTCTTAGTCTAGTCTTAGGCTATAGTCTAGGTTATAGTCTATTCTATAGTCTAGTCTAGTCTAGTCTATAGTCTAGTCGATAGTCTAGTCTATAGTCTAGTTATAGTCTAGTCTATAGTCTAGTCTAGAGTCCTAGTCTATAGTCTAGTCTATAGTCTAGTCTAATAGTCTAGTCTATAGTCCTAGTCTATAGTCTAGTCTATAGTCTAGTCCTTAGTCCTAGTCTAGAGTCTAGTCTATAGTCTAGTCTATAAGTCCTCTGAGTCTAGTCTATGTCTAGTCTATAGTCCTAGTCGATAGTCTAGTCTATAGTCTAGTCTATAGTCTAGTCTATAGTCTAGTCATAAGTCTAGTCCTATAGTCTAGTCTAATTAGTCTAGTCTATTAGTCTAGTCTATACGTCTAGTCTATAGTCCTAGTCTATAGTCCTAGTCCTATAGTCCTAGTCTATAGTCTAGTTCTATATTCTAGTTCTATAGTCCTAGTCTAGAGTCTAGTCCTATAGTCTAAGTCCTATAGTCTAGTCTATAGCTAGTCTATAGTCTTAGTCTATAGTCTAGTCTATAGTCTATCTATAGTCTAGTCCTATAGTCTAGTCTATAGTCTAGTCTATAGTCGAGTCTAGTCTATAGTCTAGTCTATAGTCTAGTCTATAGTCTAGTCTATAGTCTAGTCTAAGTCTAGTTTATAGTCTAGTCTATAGTCTAGTCTATAGTCTAGTCTATAGTCTAGTCTATAGTCTAGTCTATAGTCTAGTCTATAGTCTAGTCTATAGTCTAGTCTATAGTCTAGTCTATAGTCTAGTCTATAGTCTAGTCTATAGTCTAGTCTATAGTCTAGTCTATAGTCTAGTCTATAGTCTAGTCTATAGTCTAGTCTATAGTCTAGTCTATAGTCTAGTCTATAGTCTAGTCTATAGTCTAGTCTATAGTCTATCTATCTCTAGTCTATAGTCTAGTCTATAGTCTAGTCTATAGTCTAGTCTATAGTCTAGTCTATAGTCTAGTCTATAGTCTAGTCTATAGTCTAGTCTATAGTCTAGTCTATAGTCTAGTCTATAGTCTAGTCTATAGTCTAGTCTATAGTCTAGTCTATAGTCTAGTCTATAGTCTAGTCTATAGTCTAGTCTATAGTCTAGTCTATAGTCTAGTCTATAGTCTAGTCTATAGTCTAGTCTATAGTCTAGTCTATAGTCTAGTCTATAGTCTAGTCTATAGTCTAGTCTATAGTCTAGTCTATAGTCTAGTCTATAGTCTAGTCTATAGTCTAGTCTATAGTCTGTCTATAGTCTAGTCTATAGTCTAGTCTATAGTCTAGTCTATAGTCTAGTCTATAGTCTAGTCTATAATCTAGTCTATAGTCTAGTCTATAGTCTAGTCTATAGTCTAGTCTATAGTCTAGTCTATAGTCTAGTCTATAGTCTAGTCTATAGTCTAGTCTATAGTCTAGTCTATAGGCTAGTCTATAGTCTAGTCTATAGTCTAGTCTATAGTCTAGTATATCTAGTCTATAGTCTAGCCTATAGTCTAGTCTATAGTCTAGTCTATAGTCTAGTCTATAGTCTAGTCTATAGTCTAGTCTATAGTCTAGTCTATAGTCTAGTCTATAGTCTAGTCTAGTCTAGTCTAGAGTCCTAGTCTATAGTCTAGTCTATAGTCTAGTCTATAGTCCTAGTCTATAGTCTAGTCTATAGTCTAGTCTATATCTAGTCTCTAGTCTAGTCTATAGTCTAGGCTATAGTCAGTTATATCTATTCTATAGTCTAGTCTATAGTCTAAGCTATAGTCTATTCTATAGTCTAGTCTAGAGTCTAGTCTATAGTCTATCTATAGTCTAGTTCTATATCTAGTGCTATAGGTCTAGTCTATATCTAGTCTAAGTCTAGTCTATAGTCTAAAGGCTATAGTCTAATCTAAGCTAGTCTCATAGTCTAGTCTATAGTCTAGTCTATAGTCTAGTCTATATTCTATCTATAGTCTAGTCTAGTCTATAGTCTATTCTATCATTTATAAATCCCGCATTTTTAAGTATACACCCAATATATGAAAATTGTCCTGAAACTATTTTGTAATTCTATAATTATTTACTTTACCTTCCCAATCTGCCTTAATCTTTCATAAATTTTCAATTAATTGCATGATTTGTTTAGTTTTTAATTAAAATTCATTGCAAATAATAAAAAACTTAATTTTATCTATCATTTTTTTATACTTTTACTAAATACAGTTTTGAAATTCAAGTCAAAACTAATGCATTCATTTATCCAATTGAATTTAAAGGCAAAATAAACCAGTGCGTGGGATTTAATTAAATCGGAATATTTTTATTTTCTAACTTCCGTTTCTTTCGGAGAAAAACACCAAACTAATTTTCAAATTTGTTAGAAAATTTTGTGCAAGCAGGCGTTTGCCACCACCTGCTGTTAGTAGAAAATTTTATTCTTTTTAGTTATTGAAAGATTAAGATTACTTTATTAAAAAAATTTAGAGAAATATATTTCTTTACAGGATGTTTAACATTTATCTAACAACAAATGATCCTTATTTGTGGCTTAAATTTGTTGTTGTTGGCATTACAAAGCTCCCCGGGGGCTTAGATTGTTTCATTTCCAGTGGTTTTGTTTGGTAATTGTTTAATGTTTAGTGTAATTGTTAATCATTTATAACCCAGAAAGGAATCTTATAATTTTATTGTGCCTTATAACCACTTGTAATATGATGATGTTGTAAGCAATCTTTTCTCTGTTCTTTGACTAATGATGTGGAAAATATTATTTTGACAGTTATTAGATAACTACGGTGTAAGTAATCTAATAATGAAAAGAAAAGGTGTTGAATGGATTATGTTCCCAAAGGGGGTTTAAAGAACAGAATCAGCTATTAATCAAATGGAAATCAAATGGTTAAAAAGTCAAGGGTTTTGAACAAAGGAACAAAAGCTAAAAGTGACTAGTCTTGGGACTAGTCCATTGATTAATCTATTGACCAGTCTATGGACTAGTCAACAGACCTATTAACTAGTATATTGACTGGTCTATTGACTAATCTATCGACTAGTCTACTGACTAATCTATTGTCTAATCTTGGCTAGTCTTCTGACTAGTCTGCTGACTAGTACATTGACGAGTCTTTTGACTAATCTATTGACTAGTCTACTGACTAATCTATTGTCTAATCGACTACATTCTGGTCTATTGCCTAGTGTAATGCTTAGTCTACAGACTAGTCTATTGACTATTCTATTGATTAGTCTATTGACTTGTCTACTAACTAGTCTATTGAGTAGTGTATTGGCTAGCCTACAGACTAGTCTATTGACTATTCTATTGACTTGCCTACTGACTAGTCTATTGACTAGTCTATGGGCTAGACTTTTGACTATTCTATCGACTAGTTTACTGACTTATCGATTGACTAGTTTACCAACTAGTCTACTGTGTAGTCTATTGAGCATTCAACTGACTAGTATACTGGCCAGTCTTTTTACCAGTCTATTGACTAGTCGACTGTCTAGTCTATAGACTAGTCTACTCTCTAGTCTAGTTACCAATATACTAGTCCATTGACAACACTATTGACTACTCCAATGACAAATGTACTGACTAGTCTATTTACTTGTCTATTGACAGGTCTACTGACTTGTCTATTGACTAGTATACTAGCTAGTCTACTAACTAGTATATTGACTATATTATTGACTAGCATAAAGGCTAGTGTATTGACTAATCAATTGCCTAGTCTATTGACTATTCTACCGACTACTATGTTGACTAGTCTATTGACTAATCAATTGACTATTCTACCGACTACTATGTTGACTAGTCTACTGACTTGTCTATTAACTAGTATGCTGGCCAGTCTTTTTACTAGTCTATTGACTAGTCAACTGTCTGTCTATGGACTAGACTATTGCCTAGGCTATAGACTAGTATATTGACTATTCTAGTGACTAGTCTATTGAGTAGTCTACGGAGTAGTCTAGTGTCTATTCTATTGACATTTCTACTGACTTGTCTCTTGACTAGACTATTGACCGGACTATTGACTAATCTATTGACAAGTCTATTGTCTAGTCAATTGATTGGTTTTTTAATTGCTCCATTGATTAATATATTAACCAATCTGTGGACTATCTGATTTTTGATCAGATTTCTGTATTTTTGATTAAAAACTTCTTACCGGTTCAAATTATTTTGTCTAATTCAAACATTTTTTATCAGTTAATTTTACCAACATAACTGCTAGAACAATATATTGGAAAATATTTTTATCAAAATCCAGCATTCTAGGCCCCTTTGTTTACTCATTTTTGAATGGTGGACGGACAGACGTTTTTGTTTTAAAATATTTAGCTGAGCCACTGAGCCCTTTTCGTTTGAGGATGGAAAAAATATTGAAATTTCCTTCTTTAAACCTCTTTAGCTAAGCGCCCACATTTAAAATTCATTCATATATTTTCATCAACCATATTCTTTGATCATTTCGCAGAGAAGAATGAAAAATAAAAACTTACCTTTTGCCATTACGTCGCCTCCGTTTGGTGGCATACACTGTGCCCAGTTGGCTCATTGCTAAGGCGGAGTTCGTTATGGTCGCCGTTTTGAAGGATTCTGTTGCTCTAACTTTGAAAAAGTAACAACTACTCAACAGCAGAAGCAGCAGCAGTCACAATAAGCACAACTGCTCTAAACAACAATTGCCAACTTATTTTTGCTTCCACAGCCCAGCAGTTTCTTTTGTGTCTTTTACTTATTTCAATGATTGTGCTGTTTTTTACTGCTTCTGCTTTTTTTTTGTAATTTTATTTTAATTTTTTTTAAGGCGTGAGATTTTTTTTGTTCACTGTATTTTTATTTATTTTTTTTTTTTTTTTTGGTTGGAAGTTTTGATTTTTGTTTTTTTTATTATTTCGTTAGTGTTTTGTTTGTTTGTTATCTTACAATTTATGTTATTTTTAACACGATTGTCATTAGTTAAGAGATTTTTTTAATTAATTAAAACTTTATATTTTTTCTTTTGTTTTTTCTTTTTAAGGATTTAAAGGAATTTTTATATTTTTGGGGAATTTTTCTTTTTTTGTTTAATTATTGCACTTTTATTGTGAAGGTTTTGCTTTTATCTTTTTTTTTTTTGTTATTTTATAGAAGATCTGTAAGTAAAAGAGAATTTTTGTTATAGAAAATTTGTCAATGAGTTTTAAATTATATTTATATTTTCAAAATTTTGATAAAAATTTTAGATCAAGATCAAAGTATTGTTATAAAGAAAAATACAACCATTACACCTTAATTCGACTCAGTATAGTTCACAAAGTATTTTAATTAGATATTTTCTAAAACCATATTTTGAAAGCTTAATCCCTGTTCTATTATAATACCAAGTTTCATTCTGATCGGTTTAGTTTAGTAGAATATTTGAAGGTCGCATAGGACTTTAATAAACACATACATTATACATACTTAACTTTGATAGAGCGTGCTAACGTCTAAAGTTTATTAAGCTATATTTTGAAGTCATATTGTGAAAGCTTAAACTGTACTCTATTGGTCCACCGAGTTTGCTGAAAATCGTTTCAGTTTTACCAGATTTTTTAAGGTTCCAAACGTATGATCATGAAAACACAATATTTTTACGACTTTGACTAAACGTGTTTAGGTATACGGTTAAGATAAATATGTTTTAAGCTTCGAAAGCTTTCTTCTCTGTTCTATAATTGTAGCAAATTTGTTGTAAACCGTTTCAGTTTTCAGGAATTTTTAACGATTTCAAAGTAGGTACAGGAGATTTAAACTTTTTCTAATACCTAACTTCAAAAGACCGCGGAACAGCCGAAGTTTCAACTGGTTATTTGTTGAAGTCATATTATGAAAGCTTAAGCTTTACTCTATTAAACTGCCAAGTTTGCTGAAAATCGTTCCAGATTTTTGAAATTGCTAAACCCCTTATAAATTTGATTTTGAAACAAAATTTCCACTATACATATTAAACATGGGCCAAATGTGCTTTCGTCTAGGATTAAGGTAAATATGTTTTCAAGTTTTATTTCGAAAGCTTAACTTCTGGTCTATACGCTTTGCACTGAACTTCATAGAAATTGTTTCAGATTTATTGAAATTTCTTAAAAATAGGAACAGGAGATATATACTCATTCTCATACTTAACATTACCAGATCGTGACAGTGACTATGGTTTAAATAGTTATTTTTTCAAGTCATATTATGAAAGCTTAAACTTTACTCTATTGTTCTACTAAGTTTGCTGAAAATCGTTACAGTTTTAGAAGATTTATAGAGGACCCCAAAGTATGATAATGAAAAGCATTTAAACATATATTTGACTTTGACTCAACATACTTACGTTTAGGATTAAGATATATATGTTTTTAAGTTTTATTTCGAAAGCTTCTGTCCTATAATTCTACCATGTTTCCTGAAAATCCTTTCTGATTTATATGATTTCTAAAGGTCGCAAAGTATGATTGCGGAAGTAACAATATTCACATAATATTCAATTTTGAATCAATGTGTTTACATCCAGGGTTTAAGTAAAGATGTTTTTCAGCTTTCTTTTTTGAAAGCTTAAGCTTTATTCTATTGATTCAGCTAGTTTCCTGGAAATCGTCACAGATTTGTGAATTTTTTAAGGACCTTAAAGTAGGAATATGATTTTAAGTCTTTTTCATAACCACTCGATTTTGACAGCTTATAAAAAGTTTTGTGGTTTAACTTTTTAATTCTTTTAAATATATTTTAAAAACTTAAGTTCTTTTCTATTAATATTATAAAGCTCTTTGCAGATCGTTTGAGAAATATTAAAGTTATAAGATTTTTATTATGTGCAATTATTAAGGTCTTAAAAAATGATTCAATCTATTTTGTATTATATTCGCGAATATTCGTTTCAGAATTCCGCTTTTTTTTTTTTTTTTGTTTTTCGATGGCTGATACTCGCATATTTCGAAGAATTTCTATATATTTTGATTTCAAACTTAAACTATCAGGAAATATTCTTGACAAATTTCATCTTATTAGATCCCCTTTGTTTATGTCTCTTTACAGAGCTTTTGAGCCCAATCAGCGATTTGATTTAAAAGTTATTAAACTGAGAAAACCAAAGGGAAATATTTTTTTGAATTTGTAAAGTTTTCAATTTGAATTTTACATCTTAAAAATAATTTACTTAGAAATTTTAACATTTCAGCTTAGTGAGCGTATTATGTTATATTGGTCCCAAGTGCCTTAAAGGGTTAATTTTGTTTACTTTTTCCTTGTTTAGACTATATTTTATAAAGTTCCATAATCTCTTTAAAAATAAGTCAAAAAAGTTAACAATATTTCTATAAACTGCAATCAGAATTCACAATTATAGCAAATTAGACCTTTGACCTTTACAGTTTAAGGGTTAAGGTATATATTTTATATTATCTTAGCTTTATTATGCTGCAAAGATTCTATTTAAAGTGTTAAAAAGGTTATATTTAAGATGTAGTTATTAAAATAAAATTTTAGCAAAATTCTTTAAATTCAAATCGCTAGTACTGCCAAACTATGTCTATAAATCTTCAAAAAAAGTTTTCAAAAATTTCAAATTTTATTAAACAAAGTTTTAAGAAAACTAAAATTGGAATTTTTAAACCGCCATTTAAAAAACAACCATTTTTAATCTTAGCTGAGAAGAGCTTAAAGTTATTTTTTTAAGAAGAAAAACTAATATTTGAAAAGTTAAGTATCAAAATAGTTTTATTAATATATTTCTTAAATAAATAATTTTTTTCTTCGTACACCCTCAAATATCCAGAGTAACGTTAAGGGTCTGGGAAAGTGTTAATAACTTTAATATTTTTTAAGACATTTTTTAAGTTTTATTACTTTTTGATTTTCTAATTGTGTTGATAATAAGATTATTTTACTTTAAAACAAGTTAGATTTTAAAGTCGGGCCTTGACGACCATATGATATGCTACACCAGTGATTATGTTAAAAATATTGATTATTTTTTTATTAATAAAGTATTTAACTTCATTTTTACCTTAATTCAGAAATATTTGAACAACTTGGCAAAAAAGGGATATTCTAAATGAGCGGTTATATGGGGGGTTAATATGGTCCTATCGTTTTAATTTCGGTAGAGGGATTTACGTCCACATTAGTTATTTATGCAAAATATTATCATGATATTAGTGTTTATAAGTAAATATTGACCATCAAGTCATTTTCCGAAGGGGACTTTGTATGGGGTATAGGGTTAAATGAGGTCCGATTAAGACTTATATAAAACTAGGTTTTGGCGATTTTTGAAGTGATACAAAAAATTTAACAAATTTATGAGCTCAAATGCCCTATTCGGGGGATACGTTTGTATGGGGACTATACGATATAATGGACCGATTTTAACTATTTTCAATAGGCTTAAAAATTGCGACTTGTAGAGTGCGCACAAGATTTACATGGACAGACAGACGGAAAGACGGACAGACAGACGGACATAGACAGACATAATTACGAATTTAAGGGCAAAATTGTGACAAAAACCTTTTAAAATTGATTTTTTTCTCTCGAATGATAAAAAGAAACAGAAATACAATTTGCTGGAGTACTCTATCATTATGAACGTAGCTTAAACTTCTAAAAACCAAGCCATACCAGTAAATGGTTCCTTTCAGCTGAAATTGTTACAAGAATTACTCTTTAAAACCTAAAAACAATTCTAGAGAGAGAGAAAAGGCTCTCTTTTTTAAAAAGCTTTGAATTGTTTTTCAAAAATACAAAGTTTTAAAAAATGTTCAAAATTTCCTTCTTTAATGGGAGCTATTAATTTTAGTTTTATAACAAATTTATGTGCTCTGTATTATCAAGAAAATTTTATTTAAAAAATTTAATAAAATTTAAAAATTTCTTCCGATTTTTAAACTTTTTAGCACTTTTTATAATGATGAATAATTTGTCTCATTCCGAACGAATATAGGGACCTTAAAAGTTTGGAAAATCTGCTTTTATTTATAAAAGATCTATTCTCAGAATTTTTCTGACAAATTAAAAAAAAAAAAAAACTTCTTTTCTACGCTTTAAATCCGAAAAAAATTTCAGTTCTATCTAAAACTCTTTACTTGTCTGACTTTGACAACTTCTCAGATTTACAGAATTCAACTAAAAGTCTTGAAAATTTACAATATAATGGGAATATCAAGCTGCATACTTTGTTTTTTAAATCTAATCAGTTTTATTGAAAAATCTGAAACATCGAGGAACGGTAAGCTTCCCAGCTATTGATATTGTTTTTCTAGTTTTGAAATTAAAAATAAAAATTTCAGAAAATTTCAAAAATTTTGAATAAAATTAAATTAAATTATTGGTTAACAATTTCTTAGAAAAACTTTAAATGTTTATATATTAGATTTTTATTATAAACTCAATGAGAATTAAAAGAATCTTCTACAAAATCATTAAAGTTTTAAATTCCATTTTTTAAATTTTTATCAAAATTTTTTAATTTTATTTTTAAAAATTGTTCATTGGCCGTCAGGTTTTACTGCCAAATTGCTTAATTAACATGTTTATTTGTTAATTATTAATAGATTTCCCTAGCAGAGAAATTAATTTTTATAACAAAAATTAATTATTTTTGCGTGTTTTGGCATAATTAGCCCAAAAATAAGTTGGCAAAATTGTCAAACTAATTTGTTTTACAAATTCAAAAATAAAATTTTTTTATAAAACTTTTCTAAAACACTTTATTTAGCAAAAAACTAAACTTTCTAGACACTTTTAAATTATTTAAAAAAAAACTTTTGTTTATAAATTTTTAAACACGATTAATTTTTTTTAATTCCTTTGCGTGTATTGAGTTTTCCCAAATAATTTTTTATAAATTTTTAATTATTTCTTT